CCTTGGTAGATAGAAGAAGTGACAGGAAAGCATAGCACATATAGGAATGAGTTTTCTCTCTTCTGCTCTAATGTTCTATTTCGTGTTCCATAAATAATTACATGTGTAAATAGTGATATTATTTGCAACGAAATGAAATCACACGAAGAAACATGCAAGTGGTACATATAGTGGTCTGCGATTAATAAACAATAGTAAAAATTGTAACATAATCATTCGGGAAAAATGTTTTAAGAAAGAAAATTAAATATTATTATACAATTTTATATATAATGTTCGTAGTTTTCGTATCATCAGAAACTCCACCACCACAAATCATTATCTTAAATCCTCCGACTTGTAACTCTAGAAAGCGCCACATACAATTGTCCATAACTATATCCATGGTTCTTCAGTAGTAGGCTGACGTGCGACACAGACTACCCTTGACTCTTATTGATTCGCATAGCATAGGAAACCATGAGCGGGAACAGCCACCGCCTCCGCTGTTGCCGATCATCTGCAGATCGTCGGCCTGCGCCTCCGCCTCCGCTTCCACCATCATCCACCATTCCTCTCCCGCCGGACAGGCCATCTCGCGATGAACGCAATAGCACCGACTCCGTCGTCGTCGACCACCCATTGACCGTCGGCCTCCGTCATAAACACCACTTTTGCCTCCATTTCCGCCATCACCGACCATTCCTTTTCCACCGGACTGGCCATCTTGTGATAAATGGCCGACCATTTCTATGTCGCTGTTCTCAGCAAGGCGACTTTCTCAGCCTCCCGCCGATCGTTCTCAGCCAAGCTACCTTTCACACAATCCAACCATTACCCTCCCGCCGGAGACACACACACACCAAAGACAGAGGCTGGAAAACCATATGTCATCCATCAAGCGTTCTCTGTCGTCGCCACCATTTCTTTCATCCGCCGGCAGCGCCTCTCATTCCCGACGTCGAGAAGGTCGTCTTCTTCCGCGACACAAACTGCAGAAGGTCGTCTGCAGCGACATGTCCTCTCGGCCGAGTGGCTCCCGACGGCAAAGTGTCTGCCAAAATGGCCGGACAGACGTGGATATTTATTTATCATTATTATGCATACCAAAGTTATAGGAATTCACTTTAGACATTAACACGTTGCACTTTATAAAACAAACGTTGTACTTTATAAAATTATATGCTACATTTTATCATGACTATCAGATTGCACAATAGAGATCGAAACATACCGAATTCAGATTTTTTTCGACCAGAATAATATAAAAATAATAAACAAAATTATTAACATATTAAATATAATTATAATATAAATAAAAAATTATTTTATTTATTTTAGTTAATTCGGTTAACTGAACAGAATAAACTAATTAATTATGTTCATTTTGAATTTGACTTGGGACAAGATTTCGTTTGGTTCAATATGCACAATACAGTCCGACACCGTACATCATAGTGTTGGACGAATTGCACCTTAGTACTCTTAAATTGCATAGTATATTTCTCTTACATGTATACATTTTTTGTATCAAACAATAATATAAAATACAAATTAAAAAAATATAAAATAATAATAAAATTTATGAAAAAAATAAATTGAATAACCATACATATATTGTTAAAATTATTTATCAATATTCCACATTTAATAGATTTTTAGTAAATTATATAATTAATCATCAATTATATAGCTTTATAATTAATTTGTTTTTTGAAATTGCAAATTGGCCCCTGTAGTTTATCTAATTTTCAGAAAAATAACCCCAAACTCCACTTTCAGAAAAACTAAAGGAATGATGAACTCCTCAGTCATTAACATTTTTTTTTTCTGGCCGCCCCTTTCATTCACCACACCTCCAGCCTCGATTCAGACACAACAAGCAGTCGCCGTCAAAGTCGCGTCCGTCGGATAAAAAAACTCAGGCTTAAGACTATTTATAGACGGAGAAGGGAAAGGGTCGATCAACCCCGGCCGTCGAATCACAATTAAAACTGACGGTATGGAAGAAGCGGGCAAGATGAAAGGGCAAAATATTTGGGGAATCGTTGGATCGCGGCTGAATTGAATGGCTCATATGTGAAGGCCAGACCAAAGGACATAAGAATTTTAACGTTGTACGGAAGTCGGATCTAATGAACGACATCAAAGACGCATTTAATGTGTACTACGTACAAGGTCAGCGTGATTTACAGAGTGATGATGTCGATTGGATGTTGCAGTTAACTGATTGGTATGACAAAGTAGAAATTTGAATTTTAAATTTTAAATTAAAACCACAAGAGAAGGTCGAAAAAAATGTGGCAGAATTGAAGGAAGTGCAAGCAGACATGTCGAAATTTAGAGACGTAACCCATCAACAAAAATCAAGGACATGAATCTACTCTTACATCAAGTTATCATAACTCGACCTGAGTAGAGGGGACTAGATGACATGGGATTCCACAATCGGAAGAGCAAACCCAATAAAGTGGCCAACTATTTGGATGAATCGGTTGATCGAACAGAACTGCAGGAAGGTTAACGGAGTTTTAAAGTCAGTATGAAGTATTCAGGTCGAAGAAGAAGTGAGGGGTTCAAAGGAGTAGTGATAGGTCGATCTAGGGCATTCAGATGGCCTATTGGAAGCTCCACTTGAAGGTATGGTTGGTCGAGTTTTGACCAGAAGGACAACAATTAGGCTCATGCAAGATTCTACCTCTAACATGATTCGAGTTGGTCGCACCATTAGGCGGTCTAATACGAAAGACCAAGGAATAAGAAGGAAACTTAATACGATAAGAGTCACACGTGGATAGAGCCACATGACCTAACAGAATTGGGCAGTACGGGCAGTACAAAATGGCAGTTCGAGCAGTACGAACAGGCGGTTTGGGCAGCCCACTCGGGTAGTCTTGGGAGAAAATGTATCATCTCCCTATATAAGAAAGTGAGTATGCCTATTATCACATTACATTCTCTATTGTTCTCTACTTACATGCAATACTTCAACTTCTTCACAATGCTAACTAAAGCATCGAAGGCTCTTTAATGGAAAACCCTACAGTTTGAGAGTTTATGCAGGTCTCAAGACGTTCAACCGGCGAGGAGCTCAAATCTGGTTGAATCCCCGTCGGTCGGAGGTCTTTTGTATACCATTAACTAAATGTGAACTTTGCAACGAGCTGGAAAAACACATTGGAGTTCCCATTTTGAGTCCATTTGCAGTATGATAGATAAATACCAAGTTATTATCGTGCTTGACCATATGAGAAAAGAAACATCTTCTAATTCTATACGTGGGGAAGCTACAGGTGCTTTAATTGCGATGAGATCATTTGATTTCATATTTATCTTATTTTTTATGCACAAGATTATGGCAATCACAAATTTGTTTTGTCAATCTTTTTACGAGAAGTCTTTGGATATTTTAAATGCAATGGATTTTGTGTCAACTACAAAATCTTTGCTTTGCACTCTTAGAGAAGAAGGCTTCAGTACTCTTCTTACATACTTACAAACATTTTGTCAAGAAAATAGTATTGAGATACCATATATGAGTGCTTGTCATCGATCTTCTAGACGGCGCATTTTCCACCAAAACAGTTGAACATCATTATCACTATGATGTATTCAATGTGACAATAGATTTTCAATTGAAAGAGATTCGTAGTTGATTTAATGATGGGGTTGTAGAACTTCTCCGACTTAGCTCTGCATTGGATCATCGAGATAACTTTAAGTTGTTCAATGCCGATGATATTTACATTCTTGCCTATAAATATAACCTAATAATTTTAGTGGGCAAGAGCTACATTATTTGAGGAGTCAGTTAGAGCATTATAAGTTTGATGTTGTCTAGCATGAGAGGTTCCAAAATATTTCTACCATTTTTGATTTACGGAGAAGTGAAGACATTACCATTAATTGATGGATTGATCCGCACATTTTAACCTTTTTTGTTTCTACTGCAACAACCGACCCATCATTTTCAGCTATGAAACTTCTCAAAATTCCTTTTCGAGATAAGGTGGAAGAAGACTTCTTAGCAGATTCTATGATTGTCTACATCGAAAGAAAGATTACTTAGAAGATGAACACAGTCAATAATTGACGATTTTTATAATATGAAAAATTGGAGGGCGCAAAGACAAGAATTTTCTTTCTCTCCCCAATTTTCCACAAATCACCTCACCAAAAACCCTTGCTCGTCCTCTTTGTCGCTGCCTCCTCTTCAGTCTCTTGTTTCATTGCTAGCCGAGGAGGACGGGCACCGGGGCATCCCTCTCTTCTCCGTTTGGTCATGAGTTGTCGGTCCTGCTCGGCACATTTTTAGTAGTGATGGCGGCGGCGGGGCTGCTCGGTGGCTTGGTGGTGGGGAGAAGGAGGTCGGGTTTGTCCGCGATTGGTTACGAATGGGCTTGGGTCGTCGCATTACCTTCCTCTATTCTTTGTTCGACTTTTCTGGGGTTGGGAGTCGAGTGGGGCTTAGTGGCCTGGGGTCCTGTTCGTGGTGACCGAAGTTTTGACATGGTCGGTTGGGGAGACGACCTCGCGTGCTTTCTTGGTCGGGAGCCGTAGGGGTGTGAGGACTGGCTCAGGGGTTAGGTGGGTGAAGTTAGCCAACTCTTTCGGGAGAAGGGAGTTTCGAAATCCGCTTCCCGTGTTGTTGTCTTACTCGCTTTGGTTTCGTTGGTTGGGTGTCTGGCTCGTGTTGGCAGTTCGGAGCAACTGTTTGACTTTAAAGGAGGGCTTATTTTTTAGTTTATTTTAGTTGGTTGGTTGTTTATTTTTTAGTTTTTGTGGTTGTGTTGTGAATGTGTGTTTATAGTGTTTTTGTTGAGTTTGTGTTGTTGTTGGGGTTTCTTTGCATGTATTCTCCTTATGGGAACGTGTATTCTCCTTGTGGAAATTTTATTTAGTTTTTTGTTTTTAGTTTGTGTTGTGGCACTTAGGCTACCTTGTGTAGACCTCGTGTTTTCGGTTAGTTTGCCGGTTATAATTATGTGTTTGCATAAATGGATTCTGTCGCTTGGAAAAAAAAAATTCGGAAGGCGCAACTTAAATAGATAACATTTTTTTTAATAGTTGTAATGAACATGAATCATTTTATATGAATTTGGTAATCAATACCTATTTTCTACGACTCCTTTCTAAATTTTACCACATAACTTAAATCATTCTTATAACCGATCAGTCCAGGGTATTTTTTTTTTTAAGCCCTTGCTCACCAGACCGGCATCACATGAGAGAGGATAAATTCCGAATGCGAAGCTTAGTTTGCTTTTTGTCACCACCACATGCATTGGCAAGCACATATATTCATTCTCAGGGTATATATAATTTGTTGAAACACTCTATGCAGATGCATAACAATGAGTTGTCATCAGGAGAATAATACAACTCAATTTCATTTCTCAACAATATGTATACCATAACAACTCTTTTTTCTCTTTAGCAGTTCATTTAAAAGCATGAACCCATTATTGAACTACCTAAGAAAAGAAAAAAAAAACGAAAAAGAAAAGAAAAGGGTGAAATGAAAATTTTATTTCGTTAAAAGTAAATTATAATTTTAGTTCTGTATGTTTCACTATCCTAACTTATTATCCACTTTGAATTGCGTTTTTTTATTTTCGTCCGCTATTTTTGCAAAAATGTTACAAAAATGTCCCTTTCGCAACAAAAATGTCCTTTATGTTTTGTAAAAAAATGTTCGAATTTCATCCTTTATGTATGAAAAGGACCTTTTTGCAAACATACGGGACAAGAATAAAAAACGCAATTTAAAGAGAACGAAAAAAGTGAGGGTAGTGAAACATACACGACTAAAATTACAATTTACTCTTAATTATTTATTAATAGTGCACATGCATCAATCTATTTCTTCCTGTTGTACTCGTCGTGATCAAGAAGGTCCTCTAGCAACTTATTGTCGTAATACTCGAACTCAATCACTTCCCGCTGGGGCTCGTCCTCCCTCCTCTGCATGGAGCCCCCTGCTGCAAAATGGGACGAGCTGCTTGGCATGTTATACTCGTCGGGAAAGTTGAGAATTGCCAAATGCCCCCTCATTTCGTACGCTGCCCTGTCATAGGCTCGGGCAGCCTCCTCGGCTGTGCCGAATGTCCCGAGCCACACTCGTGGGGCCCCCTGACGGGCCGAGTCTCGTATCTCAGCCGCGTATTTGCCCCACGGCCGCTTTCGGACCCCTCTGTACTTTATTTCTCCTGCATTTTCGTTTTCTTGACTCTTTTTTCCTCTGTCATCCATGTTGTTTTGGAATTTTTTTATTTTTAGGTTTATTTTTCTTTTTCCTTGTTTTCTATTTTTGTCTTCTTTGGTGGGAGTTTATTGTGTGTGGAGTGAGGTGGCAATTTATATTTTTTTTTCACGAGTCAAAAAAGGTATATTGGAATATTGAACGGAACAGGGCTATGTTGTCCACGTGGATGATCTTGTGGTGGAAAAGATGTCCCACGTGGATGGAAGCTACCATGTAGACGGGAATTTTTTTTTATTTTAGGGTATGCATTGTATTTGGACTGGTCAAAGTGGTGGCTTTGGACTTTTAAGGCTGTTTTCTTTACAACATCACTTTTTTGTAAGGGGATTTCTTCATTTACCATGCAATATTTTTTATTATTTGATAGAAATATAATAATGAAAGGGGAAAAAATTGATGGATGGAAAGAAATGAAAGGTCGTTGTTTTAATAATTATTTAGATGCGCACGTGCAGAATTGAATTCCTAAATAAGAATCGAGAAATGGTCTAAAAAACTTGGTGAAGAAGTCATGCTTCTGACATCAGGTATGACGTAATTAAAAATTGAGTCCCCAATTTAATTTTTTTTTTTTCGAAACGACAATAAATAATTTAAGATAATGCAAACATGGGATCTCGAGAGACCACAATCCAAACAAATTGGATCAGAGGACTGCGACAGGCAGCCGAGAAACGAAATTAACTAATAAACTGTAGGGATGGCATTTTTTAATCGAAAATCGAACCGAACCGAACTGAACTGAACCAACGAGAAAATAAATCGAACCGAACCGAACTGAACCAACGAAAAAATAAACCGAACCATACCGAACCGCTTGTAACGGTAACCGATTATCGGTTACCGAATCACTATCGGTTCGGTATCGGTTTTTTGAACCCATAAGATTTTGGTAAAACCGATACCGAACCAATAAGGGTAAAAAAAAAAATTAGAACAAAGGTTTTTTTTCTTATAAATATTAAAACAAGGATTAATTGTTTAGTGTTTGGTGTTTTAAAATTAAAATATAGACTTAACCCTACCTAAACTCTAAACTGACGAGAAAAATACCACTACTCATCTCCTCATTCACCTTCTCACCAGAACAAATGTCGGTTTACCAGTCTCACTCCTTCTATGGAAGATGGTAATGTAACTGTAGTTTATTCTCGTACCACTGTTACTAGATAATTTAGTTGAAGTTGTATCACAAGTTTTATTTTTTGGATGTTCAACAATAGATTGTTTTATTAGTTGCGATTAACACAAAAACCAGAATCTAACTATATTTAAACTAACTTCTATATATTAAATTTAACTCCTTAATCCTTCAATGAATTTGTGAGTCTTTTGTGTATATTTAATTGCTAAGAAGTGAGAAAAATACCAAAATGACGAGAAAAGTAAACACTAGAATTTTTTTTTTTGCTTTTTCAAAACCGATTCGGTTTTTTCGGTATAAAATCGAAACCGAACCGAAACCGAACCGATTTATATTCCGTAACCGACTTTAATCGGTTCGGTGTCGATTTTGGATTTTGAGGATACCGACATTATCGGTTCGGTATCGGTATATGCTTATCGGTTTGGTTACCGAACCGATACCACCTCTAATAAACAGTGACGGATCCAGAGATTAATAGACTGGACTAGAAATATGAAAACTCAATTTTAGAGAACTAATATAATATTTCTTCTTTAAATAGTCACTGAAGTTGTGTTCCATGAGTTTTTACAGGGTAAAATTCATCAATAATAGAATCTTTACGTATACTATTAACAAATTCCCGTTCGATGAAGATAATTAAAAAATCTTCGAGAAAATCATCATCCCAATCTTATTACGAAATATTGACTTCACATGCTTCATGGTTGAAACTGGTAACGTCAGAATTAAATGGATCAATCAAATTCTTAAACACGTCAGAACTGGTAACGTCAGAACTAAATGGATAAATCAAATTAACATAACATACATCTTCAATCTACCACTTTCTGTCAATTTTTGCCATAATTCAACGAGAGTAGATGCTTCAAAATTCTTAAGCATGTCAGGCTTATATTGAATCAACTCATATTTCAAAGAGACAATATATATGTTGAGCTGTAAAATCCTCTGAATAGAACTAATTCTTGCGAGCTTGCAGATATCATCCCTACTAAATGATTAAAAATAATTTCTAGGATCTAAAGCCACAATGAGAGAAATGAGTTCGATAGAGGTATCATTAAACCATATATTTAACTCCATCAAAATAAAATCAATTGTTTCAGTAAAGATGTCAAAGTGGTAATGATGTTCAATTGTGGTATGTCCATGAGAACGACCAACCTTATAAAAATCATATATGTTTGGAACATTAACCATTTCTTGAGCAAAAAACTTTAATATCCTCAAGAAATGCTTTCCAATCAGATTCTCTCAAAATTTAACAATCTAATATACACTTAATTAAGTGATCTTAACAAACCCTATTAAAATCCTAAATAGAGCAACTAAAGTCTAAAATGAAAAAGAGAGACAATGACAATTATACAAATAGAACAAACATCTAATACGGATTTTAAAACTATAAAGTTACTATTAAAGAAGAAATATTTTTTTTTTTTTGGTGAATTTTTTAACCCTATTGTTGTAGAGGGATCTTTGGACACACATTCAACACGCATATGAAAACACAACTCGATTTATTGTTCATGTGTGATTTTACACCATATTTATTGAGTATTTAGAGCTTAGTCATTGCATTATTGGTGTACAAATCGCATATTTGTGCTTTAATTCTCTATTTGTTGGAAATGTATTACACGTGCTTGTTTTGTAGATATTTTCACATGTTTGTAGAACTTGTGGCTATTGGAGGCGCATGGTGAATACCTAGGACCCCCGAGATGATGATGGATTGACGCACGGATGAGAAAAATGGAAGAAACGAGTGAAACGGATAAAAACAAGTGTGCTGGGATGTGACACGGACGGTGACACGGGCACCCTGCCCGTGTCAGAGGTCGTGTCACGATAACAGGGACATTCCGAGGCATTGAATGTGACACGACCTGCGACACGGACGGTGACACGGGCAGAATGGCCGTGTCACGCGCGCAGACTGCGTTTTATTTCTTGTGTATTTTGAATAGGAGAAGGGTTTTGGACATTATAAAAGGCATATTTACCCTATTTTGAGAGGAAGAACGTGATTACACATTAGGGAGGCCCTAGAACACACAAGAGAAGCAATTGGGAAGCAAAAAGAAGATCAACCACAAAGGGATCAAGAAGATTGAAAGATCGACAAGATTCCTAGTTTTTCTTTCTTCTTTCCTTTTGAACTTTTATTGATCATGTTGATTTCTAATATGTCTATGTATTTGGATTCAAACATGAGTAGCTAGTTTATTTGATTCTAGGACTTGGTAGTAGATTAATATGTTGGGATTTTGGATGAATTATTATAATTGATTGTTTTTCTTTTGAACCCTATTTCAAATATTTTGTTCTTGCTTCATGTTTAGCACTTGATCAATGCTTTACATGTTAGACAATATTGTTCATAATTCGAGAGATGAGTTCAATATTAGGTCTTTAATATTTGACACAATTTACTTGCTTGAATCGAGAGATTAGTAGGTCGTTGTGAGGATATTAGATCTTTTAATCTATTTGGAGTTGAATTGCATGTGTTGAGTGGAGACGCTAATATATGTGATTTAATCTACGGTTTTTTATCGATCTTGACAGGGACGATAAGCTAAATTTGTGATCATCTTATAGGGAAGATAAAGAAAACATTGGTTGTGATATTTCTGAAGGAACTCAACTATTAATTAAAACCAAAGTCTTAGAATCTATCATTCTCATATATTTTCTTACGTGTTTTTTTCTAGCTAGTTTCTCATTGTTGCTTTATTTTCCTTTGATTATATTTTCTTAGTTTAGTTAATCCATCTCATATTCGGTCGTCTAAATAAAGTTGACACTATCATAATCTTGTACTTGATATATTAATTATTTGGTCTCTTGGGATACGACCTTGCTTGCCACATACTACGAGCGAAGCCGTACACTTGCGGTCGAGCTTTAAAAATATAGGCGAACAAGTTTTTGGCGCCGTTGCCGGGGACCAATATAATTAGTTGTATCAATATTATGATAGATAGTGTTGGTTTTAA